CAGCTCTTCATGGGGGAATGCCCTGCTATCTTGGGATGGTTGATGCTTGGACAAAGAATTTTTCCAGTTTCTCTGTGTGGAAGAAGAAGGGACCCAGATGCTGGTGATGAAATGTATAAACTCTAGTGAGTTCAGAGCAGAGAACAAGAAACTTTATACAGAAGGGAGGTACGTGTTGTCAAACTGAAGGCATGGTGGGCCTAGGGGATGAGCCGTGGTGGAAGCAGTCTGGCCTGAAGTTCAGACAGTTTCCATGAATCGGAGGACAAAGCTTATGGAAGTGAAGGAGGTTTCTGTGCTCTGTGGCAGACTGAATTTCCCGTGCAAGTCTATTCAGAGGGTTGATGGACTCGAATAAGAGAAGTTCTTTAATATTTTGTCCAGTCTTTAATATTTCTTCTGCTGTAGGAATAAGAAGTAGAGACATTTGGAAATTTTTATTTTATATATGTATGCATTTGCTTGCGTGAACTATCACCTTCAAATCTGGCATACATGTACACACTTCATGTGCTATAGGAAGCCAGCAGTGTTGTGCAGGGGAGGAAAGACTCAGCGCTGGTCTGGTTTGCACAGCTGGAGACCATGTCACTGAAGGGGACACAAGCAGAAAGCCAGTGTCCCTGAGGACCCAGGGCACTGAAGGGGTGCTGCAAATCCCATCCCTGCTGCTGGTAGAAACTGAGCACTTCTCAGTCCTCACTGGTGTGAACATTTCTGAGGGTGCAAGACAGAATTTAGTGCTGAACCTTCCTAATGCTTGGTTATAGCATTTAGATCCTCAAAGAGGAGTTGAACTCTATAGATACACTTGGTTATTTTTACCTAGATGTGTGTGCTTGCACGCACAGGTGTGTGTGTACGTATGCAAATTTTTGTTGAAACATTTGTCTGCTCCTGAACAGCAACTGCAGAGACTTCCACCAGCAGCAGTGTTAAGCTTGCACCGACCTAATAAGCAAAAGTACAAGGTGCTCCTGCGTCCAGCCTCAGTGTGAGAAAGGGAGATGAAAAGGGGTTTAATTTGGCCCATTGTATGAACGAGTTTGCTGACACAAAAAGCCTACGTTCTCTAGGGGCTGCATGTTTGTGCTGACATAAAGGTCTTAATATACGTTATGATTAGCATCAAGAAAATGTTAAATGACGCAAATTTTTCCCCAAACAGCTGATCATTTTAAAAATTCTTTTGCCTATAATGTTGCTGCTTTTTCACAAGTGTATATATTATACACTACAGAGGAAAATGAAGGTTGAAATCTTAGGTTTTAGTGTAACTAATGAACTTTGCGTCTAAAGAATGTGGTTTAATCCTAAAATCTACGGCACTGAGAGGCTGAACTCACTTCAGCTGCTCTGTGAGACTCACAGAAGTTGTGACTGTAGAAGCTAACACTCTGTTAGGGTGGGTTATTTGGGGATTCACAGAGCCCAAACTTTAAATTTGCACATATAAATGCATAGGTTTTTAAAGCCAGAAGGTACCACCAAGATCTAGTCTGACCTCCTTTATAATACAGTCACAGAATTTCACCTTGTATTTCCCTTCCTGAGCCAAATAACATGAGTATTCATGCCAGAAGTGTTTGTGCTTTAATTCAGTAAGGGAATAGGTATGATACCAGGCTGTTTATCCTGCAATCTCGACGAAGCCACAGAGCCCAAATAATGCATACCAAGCATCAAATCCTCTCAAACTTGTGGTGATAGTAATAAAAATTGCTAAATGCCTTCGCATAACAAATAAATTTGATTAAACCACTCTCTGCTTATGGCTATCCTGTGAGCAAGAACGAACATAAATAGTTAGATACATGATTTATAGAATATTATTCACTTTTCTGAGTAACTCTCTCTGTTCTTGGGTCTTTGATATTCTGATGGCAATGTTGTTTGCAAATAATGCAAAATGATGTATATTTTAGCAGCTACTGGCTAGGTTCTCAAGAGGAAACATTCTCTAATAGCCCAGTGCTCCTGAGGGGCTTTTACAAGCAATAAAATGCAAAGTATACAAGTCAAATTTTTCTCAAGTCTTGCTTATACAAACATAAATTTCAGCGTCAGAGATCTTTTTTTCTCATTGCGAGACAAGTCTAGACGATGTGCAACGAGATTCCTGCATCCTGCAGACATTTGAAGAGTCTATGTGGTAGAGCAAATATTTGGAGTCTGAAGTGTGGCACAGAAACCACCTACTGATCTCTTCAGTGGGGGCAGGAGCAGGGAAAGGGCCCTCACTTGTCCACTGAACTTGTTCCTGCCTGTACTCTCTACGGCCAGAGGCAAAGAAGGCAGAAAACAGCCCTATATGTGCTGAAAAAAAGGTCAGGTGAAGAAACCTCTGTTTTCTCCCTCTTATGAGTGATAAGGATAAGTATTGATCATAGATCATATTTAATGTTGTAAAATGAAATTTAGGATAAAATTCATTGAAGCTGCCATATCCAAATCTTTGGCAAGCTTTACGTAAAATTTACAGCAGCTAAAAATCTCCAGCAATGTTGTCACTGGTGGCCAGCCCTGAGGGTACTGCTTATTTTCTGCCATGAAAGAGATTTTTTTTTTTTGTACATTTCCTGCATTCCTGCATTAATGGTGCTTTGTTTTCACTAGCACAGTGATTCCAAAACTAGAACTTGTGAACCTGTGCCATAATCATACATGATTAGGAGCCTGGTGGAAATAAAATTGCAGAACCAGGTCAAACAATGTGACTGTGAGAGAGAAAGGAATGGAAAGGCATGACTTCCAAGTGCAGCCGGGGTTGTGAACACCTCTAGATAGGCTTGGCACTCTCTCTAAAAGCTTTCAGATCCTTCACCATGGTACACGCCATGGCGATGCCCCCAGCACTGTCTGGACTCCATTTGCCTTTCTTGGTTTCCCTTGTGAAAGGGTTTTAATTTTTATATTCAACTTCATGTTCTCTACTTTATTAACTTTGAATTTTTCTCCTCATAATCCCTATTTGGACCTCTCTTGTCTGGTTTCCATTTCTTCTAGTTACTGGAACTGCCTGCACCAAACCCACAGATAACCCCTTCTATGGTCATTTCCCATCTCCATCCTTCCCCTTTATTAGGAATGACCATCCTGATTTCTGAATCTCTATGCTTTCTTGATCTTTCCTCTTCACCTGCTAATTCAGCAGTTGCTCTACCCATTTTCCCTGTACTTGAGCTCTTAACCTGACCAAGGAGTCCACAGTACTTAGAAGTGTCCAGACTTCTGAAGCACTTGTAATACCGCCACACTACCACCATTTCTACAAATGTTGCTTTTTCCACCCCTTTTCTCAATCCCTTTTTTGACTGTCCCTTACTGGTGACAGTAAACATTTGCTATTCAAAGCAGGAATAATGATTGCTGATTTTTTTCTTTTGGTCTAGGAAAATTCCACGCCTGTTCAAGTTACAGTGAAAACAGATAAAAAAAATTGCAGTAATTCATACAATATTGCAATAATAACTTCAAAGATGAGAGCTGCAAGATTTTTTTTTATCCTGGAAAAACTGTGTTAGATTCTACTTTTCTTCACAGACTTTAAAGCTGTTTAGATAGGTGGCAACAAGGAAAGGATTCACTGAAAGTGCTCAGCAGATGTGCTTGGAGAAAACCCAGCTTTGGAGACTGTGCACTACAGTCAACATCTCCACCAATAGCAAATGTAATACTGTTTGCAAAGCTGATATTTAGTTCACTAGCTAATGACATTCAAAACCACAGAGAGTGCAATATTTCCATTCTCAAACTTAAATTTGTTTAGTTTTTTGAGTCCATATGAATCTGAATTTTAAAAACCCAACTGCATCTAAAAACAGTACAGGAGATTACCGAAAACAGTTTGGGTTTTCTGTAATCTCTTTATGAATAAATGAAAACATTATAGCAGAAGTTGCTCTTTATCCTTCATGCAAACACAACAGTTGTGATGATTACACTTAGCAGAGGGCAGATCTTGTGGGTCTGTTAGTATTTCCATTTGCTGGTTCAGTCATACATTTTTCTGCCAAAATAGCAGGTTTTCCTAAGCCTACAGACTAATTTAACTTTGGTAGGTCATCCAGTTAAAGCTAAGAGCAGAATTTATGCATTTGCGTTAAATAAAAGCTTTACGCTTTTCGTGTTTATATTGGCCTTTAATAATTGGAACAAATTCTTGGCTGACGTAATTTAACTGTGTTCTTAGGCATGATATTCCAGCAGAGAATTTGATCATAACATTTGCATTTTTATAGCTATAATGTAACGTATTTTACATGGAGCTGCATCTACAGCTAATGCACACAATATATATATGAATATAATTATGAGCGTAAGTACACATGTATGTACAGATATATACTAACAGTACCACAAGTATGCATCCAAATGCACACAGTTTTCAATTTGTGATAGTCATCATCTGCTATTAGTTAACACCCTAAACTGAGAATGGTGAATGTGTTTACGTTTTATGTACCACCATGGAATAATTATGAAATATTTATTATATGGCAATTATTCTACAGAAATAGATGTTGTATTTACGCGACAGAAAAGAAAGCCACAGAGGGAGCTGTGACATGAAAGTTCTGCAATAACATTCAAAATAGTTCTTAGCAGCTTTTAGGCCACTTCATCCAATAGGGTGCAGATGAGCTAAGTGTATCTGCACGATGGTCAGTTTGTAAGTTTTGGGGTAAATGGTAGAATAAGAACAGAGGGGATGTATTTTATCTGCACACTGAAATTCTACTGGCAAAAATTCTGCAAAGACAGTTTATATTTTTGTCACACTGTAAAAAGCAACTAACGACCCATGGACAATTTGAGAAAATGTCCTATTTACATTCCGTCATATTTATATGGTCTGGTTTTGCATACAAAGGAGGTCTTTGTTTCCGCAGGGTTTGTCAGCACCTGCTAGTCATTCCCCACCAGTAGCCATAGTCCTCTGTGGCATCAAACTTCATTTCCATATGCAAAGAATTTTGTGATGTATATACATCAGGTACCTGGCGATTTTGTCTGTACAGGACATGGTGATGAGCTGCTCTCCCAGCAACACGCCGTCCCACGTCTGAGCTGCATTATGACACCGGACAGGTATGGTTCCTTCTCCAGACTCAATCTTTGTTCGGAGGTGGCCACGGTATTTTCTCACTATGTGCTTGCTGCTGTTCACTGGGTAAAATAAACAGAAGAATGGCAATAACTAAACGTTTTTAGAAAGAACCTGAGAGGCTGTGTTGATGCCATAGCTTGCATTTGAAGAACCGCTTGTGGAGGTCCTTTAAATTGAGTGCAAATTAGATGAGATCACAGCCCAAGGAAGCAGCACAGTAGAGAAGAGTATGTGCTCCCCAGCATGGTTGTCTTTTCACATTAACCAAAACTTTCACACAGCACACGCTGAGCTCATGTTCCCATTGCCATTCCCTTATACATTTAAGAAGAATGGAGGTGCTCTGTTTTTTAAAGAAGCAGTACAATTTCTTTTTTTTAACCCATGCTTATAGTATTGAGCTGTGTCAGCGGAATATTTGGAAAACCTTTGTTCAAGGAGTGTCATCAAAGACTCACCTGGGTGATGCAGTCCATTCCAATACTCCAGTGTGATATTCAGTGGCATTTTCTGAATAATTTCAGAACGGAGGTTTTGGTTTGTTATCACAGAATTTCACTGAAAATTCTCAAAAGCTGAAGTTTTATACACTGGATAAAAGCAAATCAAAACTTGCTAGTTATTCATTGCTTGCTTAAATTCCCTCTGTGGTCTCCCTAAAGGGAAGTACCCTCCTGCCTTGTGTCATACTGTTATCTTTTATGCAATTGCTGTCCATCACTTCAGTGATATTATATATTTGAGTGTAAGGCAGCTGCCTGTGGGTTGGCACAGGGCAAGCAGCTAAAGCACTTGGCCTGCACCACAATGAACTTAACTGAGTCTTGTAGATATGCAGTAAGTGCAGAAGGTAATGACATTTCTAAAGTACTTCACCTTCATTTTTACGAAAAGATAAAAACTGAAGTTCATTATCAAAATCACTCTTACCCTCTTTATACCTATACGTTACCCCTGGGTATTTTGGTTGTAAAGGAACAGCAAGAAATTCTCTGGGTCTGCTCACTGGCTTACCCTCAGAGTGTTTCACTGGAGGACAACTTCTCTGTGAAGCTGACCTTTCACGGTTTCCCTTTAGCCTGAAGGAGAATAATGATGGTAGATGATGGCCTCTGCTTTCAAGGAAAAGGAGTGCTGCTTCTACAGACATGAGGGTTTTGTCCATATTTCCAACTACGTCCTGTGTATTTTTCCATGGCCTGCCCCTCAGCTGGACCAGAAGGCTTCTGCTTGTGAAGGTGGTGCTCCTCAGCAGGCTACGAGGCTGGCTGCGTTCCTGGCACTGAGTAACACCAGGGTGTCACAGGTTGTGGGGCTGATCGAACCTCTGGCCGTGAGCAGCTGGCTCTGTGCACGCTCCCCAGCCACCCATGCTCTCCCTCCGTCATTTTTCACTGTCTTTGCTTTGTATGACCGTTGTCTGTGCTGCAAGCTCTGGTGGAAGCAATTGATTGACTTTGGCTGCCACCAATGGATGGTTTACAAAAAGAGAATGGGAAAATAAATCACTTCAGCCCATTGGGATCAGCAAACATGTGTAGAACAGCAGCCAGCTGTGACTTGCCAGCAGATGAGCGGTCGAGCCCCCACTGATCCTTTGCTTCCTTCCTGCTTTTTTAAAATTTAAGATGGGGATGTGTGTGCCAGCAGTGGGCTGGACCAGGTATCAATTAGATCGACTGGCCATGGCTGAAAACAATCCCCACCCAAAGCCAGGTTCCATCATATCCAAAATATTTACAAATACTCTAAGGTTTGTTTGTGCTGCTTCGGAGACTGAGGTTGGGGGAGAGCAGTTATTGCACTGCCATCCCCATCAGCAGCAGTGTCCCATTGGGGAATGTGGGGGGTCCTTGCCCCCAGTTGTCACAGAGCACCTCACAAACTGAGACACTGCACCAGAGTCGCAAACCAGACGTGGAGTATTGTGGCTGCTCAAACTTCAATTCTGACAGAAACTGGGAGGAGCCAATGGACAAATAAAAATTTCAATAAGCCAAAATGCCAGTCTCACAAATGTCTCAGATCCCTCTCCCCTCAAATTGCTGGGCTGTACCAACACTGTCAGAAAACCATTTTCATAGCCATGTGTGCTGATCCTATGTACATCCCTCTTGTCTAGGATGCCTCCTGCAGTATCATTCAGAGGGTGCTCTTTGGATGGGATTAGCTATCTGGGAACTGGTCCATATTTTTCTTGGGACTCTGCAGGGAAGCTCATTTTTTACAAACTTCAAGCAGTGGTGAGCAGCATTTTTTATTATTAAACAACAGAGTCGTGGGGAAAGTACCATGAAATTTGGACGAAAAAAGGAGAAAGCGATCACTTCTGCTTAGCAAACACATCTCGCTGAGCAACAGCAAGAAATGTATAGCAAAACCACTTTGCCTTTAGTCTGCACACACTGAGAACTGATGGCACGGCAGAGCTAGACCTCTGCCAGGGAAGCAGTGAAGAGTAACTCAAGAGATTGTTGCTGGTTTGGCTGCTAGAAAGTTTGACTTCAAGCAAATCAGTTCTCTTCTCCTAAGCTTTCCCACCGGTATAATGAAGATAATGATGCTTCCTTCTTCTGCAAATTCATTTAAAGGTACTGCCCAAAAACTGTTCATGAAAAACAGATGCTATCCTTTCAATAAAGATCTACCACAGGAGTCCACCCGCCGGAAATCCCCCAGGACAAAATGAATTTTTAGTCTTTCTTTCTCCATTTTTTTTAAGAATATTATTTTCTCTTGCTATATTTTTCTCTCACTACATCTTTCTTTATTTTCCATCTCTCTCTACATTCCTCTTGCTTTCTCAGCTCCTGCTCTGACTCTCCCCTGTAGGTGCATTGATCTCCTAGATTACTCTTTTTTTCAGGCAGTTCACCATGTTACACCTTCATTTTGCATACATGCAAAGGGACATGTAACTTCTAGGGAATTTTAGTGACTGCATGACAAGACTAGCAGCCCATCATTTATGTGACTTTGATTTCACTACATAAATAATACCTAGTGAGGGGCAAAGCATCCCACAATGTGCTGACAGAGATAAGGAGCCAGTTCAGGGAAAGAAGAAGCAGCAGCCCTGCAAACAACTGTTGAGCACTTTGGGAATTTAAAGCATAGGCCAACCATTTGGGCGGAGAGGGATCCAAAACTTTTCTGTAAGTTTGAGGGGTCTGCTTATTTGATTTATTTGTCTATTTGATATTCTCAGTTTCCCTCAGGACCAAAGGAAGTGCAAATGTCAAAGTACTCCACGTCTGGTTGTTATTATGGCATCACAGCCCTGGCTTGCAAGTACCAGAAACTGAATAATAAAGTTTGTAAAAGCTTTTAGGAAGTGTGTGCAAGTGCACAGATCATCTCATTTTCCAAATGCTCGTATTAACTCAGCCCACGTGTCAAACTTTGCTCCCTGTAATGCACGCTCTGCCCAGGGTGCAGCCAAGCAGACGGCATTAGCTGATAGGATTCAGGCAGCTGTGGCCAGTGTACGCTCACCCTGGGATGCACTTCCACAGCACTGATAACGGATTTTAGCTGCTCAACTGCTATTAAATTCAACGGAAAGGGCGTGACTAAAACCCTGTGCTGTACTGCCTGTCTCAGGCTGCTCACTTTACTGGGATAGCTGGCACACATGCTTCAAAAGATGATCTGTAGCATTTATATAAAATACTAATAACCCAAAGCTTTGAGTACTTTCAAATTGACAATGATTAAATAAATCCAGATCTGCAATTGGAACACACTTAGCTCTTTTTTTTTTTTAACATGTCATTAAGTAGCGCAGGAAGATATAAATATTGAACAAAGAAAAAGATGAGGCTCCATGTGTTTTGCACTGAAGCTGCAGACAGACTCTAGCACATAAGCTGCTTTCCAGCAGTAAAAAATACAGTCCACTTGCTGGCACAGCCTGCTATGGATCATTTTAAACCAGTCTCAGAAATATATTTATTTATGCAACTTAAAGTCACAAACTACAGCCTACTGCTGTTCTGCTGTTCAGTATGATCAAAGCGTCAGTGACTATGAGCATTTCTGATCTTTGCTGTGCTGGTTCTCCAACTGCTTAATCTCGACTAATTACAGGGGAGAAGGCGTCTGAGGATGCCACTTCAACCAGAACAAAATGTCAATTCAAACCGGAATTGGAAAGGACAAATTTAAAAATCATTTGGAGTGGATTTATGATGTGTGCTACACTCAGATGTGGAAATTACTCCTGAGAGTTCATAAGATAAAAAGGTCCTGGATTATTAATTACTGGATTATATATTTACACAGGTGCCTTTTATTTAAAATCAATGAAACTCACTGATTTCAAGGCTCGCCCCTCAGTTTTCGTATTTTCTCCAGGACAAATTCTGGCTCAAATGATAATGAAAAAAGCCACTCCATATTTATTATTTAGTTGAAGAGTGAAGAGGAAATGGACGGTGATTAAACAGAATCACACGAGTAAGGCTCTGTCTGAAATTTTGCATGACTGCCTCAGAGGTTCATTTTCTATTTCCCTGCTTCAGTGGAGGCTGTTCTGTCCTCATGAAGGAAGAAATAAAACAGCCTATCTTGCATTTTCTCAGTGCTGGACTCTCCATTCATCAGCATGGTTTATAAAGCTTCCTTAGAGCAGTTTGAAACAAAGGGGTTGAAAGAGAAGTGTCAACATTTGACTGCCTTTGTGTTTTGATGGTTATTAGAGAAGCACTTTCTTCAAGCAGATGCTGAATAAACATACAATATTACTATTTCTGGAAGTGTTGAAGTGAGCATCACAGCACACTGAATGCTTTGGATGTGTCCCCTTTGGTGGATAGGGTGGCTGGTCAAATAAATCTCTGCTGCACTGTGCTTAGTGACCAGCAGAGAGCGAGGGTAAAATGCAGTGGGCCAGCTTTTGAAAGCAAGAAAGAAGTCTGGATTTAGGAAAAAAGGATAGGTCCCGTCACAACGTGCAAAGCTGAACTGTGGTTTCTGAGGGCAGGGTTCATCACGCCGAGGGCTTGGCAGGCAAAAGCAGTGGTCTTGTCTGATGGTCTATGGAGCTGCACCTGCTGCG